AAAGGTGGCTGTGCCTTGATGACAAGAAGCTGCTCCTGCATGCGAGGGCAGTGGCTTTGGTCACAGCCTTGACTCCTTGCACACTGCATGCCCCAGGACCAGCTCCGGGAGCAGGGCTCATCATGGCCACACTGGAGGTGAGGATGCCTTGGCCAGCCAGCCCTGTATCTGAGCGCCGGCACCCGGTACCTTCACCCTGAGGACTAAGACTGGCACAAAGCTGAGTGCCCAGTGCTGCCCTCGCTCCAGGAAACAGCAAGAGCAAGGGACAGGAGGGGGGAGACCTGCAACAGTGTCATCCCAAAATGGCTTGAGCCTCCACAGTCCTTCTTGGATACAAGCCCCACTGGAAGCAGTCCTGCAGCCTTGGGGTTTCTTGTCAAAGGAGACACAGTGCCGGGTCAGCTGGGGAACACCATCCAGCCCGTGCACTGTTTGAGCCTGTTGCAAACAACCCCATGCACCAATGTCCTTAAAAACCCTGGTCACATTCAAGCCACCCACAGCAGACACCTACCCTGGGTACCTCAGCTAACTCCTCACTGCTATTCTGGGAGCCTGCAGGGAGTCCTGAATTGCTCATGTCTGTCTTGATCTTACACCCACCTACGCGTGACAGCTCAGAGAAGCCCTCAAAGTGCATGCGAGGAATACAGCACACTCGTTAATCCACACCCCCAGGCACAGAGGTGTGAATGAAGCCCACAGGAGCAAGGCAAAAGCAGCCAGCAGGTTTCAGCAAGCTGGCAGCTGCCTTCAAGGCCCACAAGCAGCAGTGTGTGCATGGAGAAAACATCCCTGGCAATCTTCAGAACTGCCGTGTTTTGCAAAGGAAGAGGAGGAGGAGGAGTGCAGGAAGGTGGCCCAGAGCAGGGACAGTCAGGCAGGTGTTGCAGTACCCATGTCGCCATTAGCTCAAATCTGCACCTAGGGATTACCCTGCCCAGAGCAGGGGATATATTTGCCATATACGTTGATGCAGCTATTTGAGGCTGACCTTGCTGTTAGAGCCGATTCATGCAAGAAAACCCTCACACCATGCAGCCTGTGGAGGAGCTCCAGGATGCTCCGGTACTCGTGTATGGGTCTCAGGGGCTAATCATGATGCTCATCCCTCCCAGAAACACCCTCATGGGGTGCTCAGGGATCACCCACTGGAGACAGGGCAGGTGAATGCAAGAAGCAGAGGGCACTAAGCTGGAGGTAGCAGATGAAGAGAAAGGGGAGACTGGGACCCAAGAGGAGGGTGGCTTGCAGGGGGTTTCCTCTGGATTCAGACCAAAACAAGAGCAATGGTGTTAAGGATTTCAGAATTTGTAAACTACTAAAAGAGAGACTCATCCTGAAACCAGAGTGTGGTATTTGCTGAATATTTTATGCAATGTATATGGAAGTAAATATTTTTAATGAAAGCTGTGGGAAAGCCTAGCCATGAACAAAAATAAAATCATCACTATGATAAGAGTAACATCATTATTATAATATACATGCACATCTATATATTTGTTGTTTATATCACCCTGGTATGTCTGCAGGCATTTTGAGGTATAATGACAGCCAGGGAAGTTGGAGGTCAGTGTCTGGCATTGCACAGAAGGAGGAGCTGGTCTGTGCTGATGGAGATATGGATTGATGGCAATCAAGGTTCATGGTCTGACAGCTTTTACATCTCCACTTTTTTGGAGAGGAATTAGACACCCTGAAGGCAAAATGCCTGTGTGCTCAGAAGTGCCAGCTCTGTGCCTTCCTCACCATCCCAGAGACCAGAGTCCCGGCTCCCCGCAGGGAGGAGAGGCTTAGTCCTCCACCTGAAACAGCTCTTCCCAGAGACACCAAGATGGGGGTACATGTCTATTCTGGGGGCTAGCACCCAAAAAGGGATGTAGAAGAGGATGGTTTTGCATGCTGCATACGTAAGTAATGTTTTCCTAAAGTAATGATATATCCCAGACTTCCAGGGTTGAGGAAGACACAGAGATATAATGCTAGAAATGGTGCCTGGCTATCACCTTCCCAGTAATGGCCAACAGTAGGCAGAACTGTCAATGAAGACCCAAAAGAACATTTCTGCTCAGTTCTTAGAAAGACACAGATGACTACTCACATCCCCCTAAGATGACAAAGTATTTTCCACTATACTAGAAGAGAAAGAAAGATGTTAACATTTGTTGAGAAAACACATTTCTAAAACTGCAGGTCTGTAATTTTTGCTGTGGAGAATCTTAACAAAGGACACAGTCAGCACCCCTGGGTGACCAAACTGCCCCAGGAGCTAAAGCCTAAAAATGAATCTACTGATTGCTCAGAAAAACAGCTCCCTGATCACCCAGTTGCAAACCATGGCTGTTCTGCCAGACGTGGTATCCTGAGGGATTACTGCCATCAGTAAAACCAGACACCTTGAGCAGGTCAGTCCTGGGACCCACCACAGCAAGAGACTGTGTCAACCCAAAATGTCCCTGCAAAATGTATGTATATGCATATGTATATGCCCATCTTCCTTCAGAATATGGAAATCAAACAGAAATGGTGTGACTGTGATTAGCCTGGCACGTACAGGTCAGCCCCTTTGGTAATAATTACCTTATGATGCCATGTGAGGGTCACCAGCTTTCTTGGAGCTGGGAAGGTGGGGAGCAGGAGTGCTTGCAGAAGACCCATGTTCTCAGGTCTGACTGCACTGTGCCGTGCAGCCATCCCTTGCAGCTGGGGCAGGTGGTTCAAGCAGGACCTGGTCCTTGCTGGGCAGGATCTGCATGGAGGCCAGAGCCAGGCAATAAATGCATTTCCACCAAGGACAGGGGCAAGCTAGACTTGTCATGCCTTAAACAGAAAACCTGCTTGCAAATAGCTTTATGAACAGCTTTAGCTTTAAGTCAGCAGGGAGCTGTGCTCCTGGCTTTTCTCTAGTTGGCCATTGCCAACCAGCCTGGGCATCTCAGGGCAGAATGGTATCTGCCTCGAGTAGTTTCTTAGTTGCAGGTGATGCGGAGAGTCCACCAGATGGAAAATTTTACAGCATATTCAGAGCTATCTCATGCCTTCAACCTTTACTCTCCTTCCTGGGAGAGGCAGATTCGTGATTTCTAGGAACGCTTTGGATGCTGCATCAGGATGAGTTCACATCCTTTCTGCTCATACATTTCTTCCCCCTCTTTGCAAGATCTCTGAACTGTCACACTTCCTCCTGCCTCTTCTGGAAATGCTCTTCATCCCTCCGGTGCCACAGCAAGTGCCACTCATCTGTCACCTTGCCATGGTGAGATTGCTCTTGCTTTCTGGACAGTTTCCATCCCACCACCTCTTCCTGCCCCTGCTTCAGTGGTATTTAGCCTGGTCCCTTCCCAACTGTCACCTTGCACAACAGGTTTCCCTGGCTGTCCTCACCACTCCCCCCACAACTGCCTCTGCTTCCACCCTTCTGTCAAGACCTCAAAGTTCATGTCCTTTCTTATCTTCTCAGGCTCCATACACTCCTTCTGTAAGATTTCCATGGAAGTCAATGAGCTGCAGAGCCCACCGAGACCCATTGCCGTGGGACATAGCAAAGATGGGGCTAGGCTCTTCTAGCTGGTCTGCTGTGCAGCCTCCAAAAGAAAGAGCCTGCAGCTGAAAGGAAGAGGGTGGGACTCCCCAAAATGCAACAAAACTCAGCCAAGAGGAACTATTCTCTCAGGTCCAGCATAATTTTTTCACTAGGAGACTCCTGAAGCACCGTTCAGGACATCCCCAGCAAAATTGTGCTGAGCATTTAAGACCATGCTTTGTCAAATCTCATTTTATTTGAATTGAATCAGTTTTTAAATTAAGCAGCTTCATTATTTTTGTCTGAAGGGCATGCTCCACAGCTGCTCCAGCTGGCAGTCCACAGCTGCTGGCATCGCCTCCACCCTGTCTGCCCCCAGGGCAGTGTCTCCTGCCTCCTGGCCCTGTGGACCACAGGCACTTGGTTTAGATGAGTAGAACTAGCTGACACCACAACTGAGCTTAAGGACCTGAGAGCTTTTCCTCCAGCAACACGGTGGCAGACTGCTTGAGGCAAGAGGCTGGTGCAGCACTACAGCCTGGAGGAGAAGGGAAGTCCCAGGGGATGGAAAGACCAAAGGTGACCTTTGGAGACATCAGCAGAGGCTGTGTTGTTTTTCTTTCCCTGGCTTTTGTAGCCCCCAAAGTGCCCCCATCCTGAGGTGTGCAATGCACAGCTTCCCACGCTTGGAGATTTCCCATTCACGAGGCTTGTGAGGGGAGGCAGAGGGGCTGCACCTACCAAACTGGAGGTGAACTCCCTTCCAGGGGACAAGAGAAAGCAACTCAGGAGCCACCAGGCAGTGCAGCACCCACATCCATACAGATGTCCCCTTGCCTTCACCCCAGGCCCCAGCACCACAAGGCTGAAGCGAGGCCAACTGCACAGGCAGCTGCCACTACCGAATCCCTGCCTGGCAGGTGCCCATGTTGCTGCGGTGTCCCACCGATGCCATAGTGGGATCTCTTGAGGACCCTTTCTGGGCCAGAGAGAACCAGGTCCAGCAGCACCCTTTGCCCTCTAAGATGTTGCAGATTAGCTGGGGCTAACGAGCAGGGATGGACACACCAAAAAAACCACACTGCTAACCGCACAAAGTTCCCCAAATCAACCCTTTATTACCTTGTTCCAGTACAATTCACACCAAAATCAGCACTACACAGCAGGCTGGGCACGCACCCTTCTCCAGCAGCCTGTGAGATGAGTGGCAGGGCAGCGGTGGTCAGCAGGCTCCACAGTCCCCATTGGCAGCTTATGGCACATCCCCACTGCAAAACGCCCTTCCCAGCATGGGCATGGCACACAGTGGGTAACACACTTGGTGGGTCACCCCCAGCAGCAAGGAGCATGCAGGGACCCTGCCATGACACTCACCAAGGCACACAGCTATTTCCCTGGTGCTGCCTTGCTCACAGGAGGAGCCAGTCGGACTCCCAGGTCTCTGCCCACTGGTGAGAAGCCAGGGCAACCACTGTCAGAGGACAATGCACCCAGACCCCTGCGTGTCCCTGACCCAGGAGATCACCAAGGGCTCTGTATTTCTGCCCCCCAAAAAGCCACCCAGGAAGAAGAGAGGCCGGAGGTTCCCCGAAAACTTGTCGGTGAAGGTGTAAATATGGGAGCGGTCGCTCACATTGTAAAAGGAGATTTCTCCTGCTTCATAGTCCAGGAAGATCCCGATGCGCCGAGGTCTCACGCTCAGGGTCAGAGGGGAGATGGGTGAGGTGAGGGCCTCATAGTTGCCCCCATTTTGCAGCCACAGCACCCAGTAGCCATTGTTTGGGGAGAAGAGGATGTTGCCTTTCCTGCTGGCAGACTCCCTGCACAGCCCCAAGCCCCACTCAGGCTTGTCTCCCACTTGCACCTCCCAGTAGCAGCGGCCTGAGAAGAAGACCTGACTCCCCAGCACCACCGGCGTGGTGCCGAACCTCTTAGGGATGTCGAAGAGGGACAGAAGCAGCTTCTTGCTCCCACGCCGCACGCTCTTGCGGTCCTCGGACAGGGTGAGCTCAGGGTGTGCTGTCTCAGGGTCCAGAGTCACGTCCACTGGGGCGAGAGAAGGGTAGAAGGACAGACAGGGCTTCAGGGGTCTGCAGGCATGGAAATGAGCAGGTGCCTGTGACCTGGATAATCCTGCACCCCCGAGGGGAGGGAGCAGTGCGGCCTCCGGGCTCATCCAGATCTTCCTACCTCCCGTATTTATTTGCTTGTGCCCATGGTTTTGCACAGCTCCCTGCACTGCCCAGCAGTGGGGAAGTGCAATACAGAAAATCATGCTAACCATAAACCACATCGAAATATTTGGCATCTGGCTGCAGAGCAGGAACACAATGAGGGTGGCTCCGCAGCCCCCAGTGCAGCTTCAGAAACAGCCAACACTGAAAGCAAGAGTTCGTGGGCAACGCAGAGCCTGAATCTCCTGAGTGACCTCCAAGGCTTCAGGGTCACCTCACAATCCATCCAAGATGAGAACAAGGAAGGTCTCCCCACCATGAAACCAGCCTGAACTCATCAGTACACAAACTGGGACCAGCTGGACAAAGCTTGTTGTAAAAACCTCCCCACGCCCCAGGGTATGGGGGAGGGGCAGGGCAGACTGGAGCCCAACTGTGCCAGGAGCTGGCACAAAAGCAGCCCCCTTACCTTTGAACTTCTTCAGCATGTCCCTCATGCCCAGGCAGCGCTCAGGGATGCTGTAGTTTTCCTTGAGGGTCACGGACACAGCCTTGGGGGACTGGAACTTTACCCCCTCACACCTGAAAGGAGAGCAATGCCCATGGGCTGTATCCAGAGCCCACAGCATGGCCAGTCTCCTGCTGGGGGATTGTTTAATGCCTTTCTGTTGGCTGCACAGATGCACCTCCTTCCTTGAGCTTTTTGGCTGTGAAGAGCACTAGGGATAACCGCTTGCTTATTGGCAAGCCTGATGGGACCAGAGCTAAATGATGTGGGGAGTGGCAGTGCCAGTCCCTGGGAAGGAAGGAGCAAGGCCAGCTGTGTAGCATGTAGGAGGGGCACATCTCACACCACAAAGCCAGGCAAAACCTTGGCTGTGGGGCCCTGGAAGAAGAGGATGGAGTCTCTTCTCCAGCCTCTGCTGGTCTCAGTCCCTCCTTTGTCAGCCCCAGGGACAGCCAAACCAGATGCTGGGCAGGGATGACAGGGTGTGGCTAGCATGGAGCAGACATGAACATCTCAGAGCCTGGAGGCAGCCAGGACGGTAGGAGGAACAAGCATGGGTACCTACCTGCTCAGGATGTTTTTCATGTCCTAGAACGAGAAGAGAAAAACCATTCTGGGTGTGGGGCTCCAGAGCCTCGTGCCCAACAGCCAGCCTGGCCTGGACACCCACCCAGATGGCAAAGGCATCAGGACTGAGTTAGTGGGGCTGGTGGCATAGCCTGACCTTGAGTAGCCCATCAGCCGGCTGCTGGGTCTTCTCCTTTATCTCCAGAATCAGCTCCTCCAGCAATGACTTCTGCTCCACCAGCCTGGCCAGGTTTTCATTGATCATCAGCAGAATCCGCTTCTCCTCCTCCTCCAGCTTCTGGAGCAGCAGCTTCTCCTCATCAGCCAGCAGCCGATGCAGCTTCCCGAACTCGCTCACAATCTTCTCCCGCTTTTTCTTCACCGTCTCCTTGCGATAAGAAGATACACAGGGTGAAGGGAGGCAACGTTAGCTGAGCAGCTGAGACACAGCCGGATTCTCTGGCATCCATGCCTGGCATCAGGCCCTGGGAAACCATGGCATTCTTTTGATAAGCGCATTTATTTAAAAAAAACAGCCAGAAGCCAACTGCTGTGCTTTCACCTCGCCCGAGTTCCCACTAGACATCCTCAGTTTACCAGAAGTAGGACTTTGCCTGGGGCATTTCTGCTCAGCTGGACCTCAAATGTCTCATGACATCTCAGTGCAGCACAGGGGGGACTGGAGGGGGCTGCTGGGCTGCAAGGAGATGCCATCAGATGTCAGGGTAGGTTTTTATTAGGTGTGGTGCAACTTATCCCTCCAGCTAGATTCAGGCTAACCTGTTGCTTGGGCAGCATGGAGGAAATGTTCCATGTCTGGAAAAACCCACAGCAATGGGAAAGAGGTAGAAGAAGCCCCAGGGATGGGGATGGATGGAAAGGGGGAGCCAGGGAGGACTCCCTGGGTGTCTGAGAGCTCTCACTACAGCCAGCAACAGGCAGGGTCTGCCAGTGCTTTGGGGTTTTTTGACCAAGCCCTAAAAATTGGTGCTTTGTTCAAAACCTGAAGCACCAGGAAAACACGCTGCGGTTAGAGCTAGGACCATGAAACCTCAAAATGCAGAAGATAAACGAAAGGAAACTGAACTGCATATATTTTACTGTCCAAGCACATGATTTCTTGGGCCTGAGTCACAAAGGCTTGATAAGCCAGAACAGTCATAGCCACTTCTCCCCCCACCGCTCAGGGACATTTTTTCCTTTTTACTAAAAAAGCGCAACCAGCCATTGGGCTGGGAGGAAGCTGGAGGAAGCTGAGCTGCGGCCCTGGAGCCCTGACTCAGGTGGGTGGTGGGAGTGTGACACAGCTCTTTCACAACCTCCATCACCAGCTCTATCCCGGCCCCGAGGCAGATGGCAGGCACACAGGGGCACCCCAAAAACCCACCACCCGCGTGGCCAGGCTGTGGAGGGCAGGCAGGGGAGCTGAGCAAAATAACTAGGGGAGTCCAGAGAAACCTGTTTTCCCTGCCAAAGCTGATTAATCATCAAGTCTAGCTCAGGGCTAGATAACTCAGTCCAGCAGTTTCGTTTCCTTTTCTGCAGTTACTTTTGCTTTTCAGCTTCCACCCCAGAGGGAGGTGAAATGCAGCTGTTTTGCTGACGTTGTATCTCCCTGGGACTGCCGAGAGTTGGGCAGAGGTGCAGTAATTCAGCTTTTCTTTTTTTTAATGAAAACACTTCTAGTTCCTATTGCTGTGAAGCAGAGCTCACTGTATGGCTCCCACCTGGCTTGTAACTCAAGCACATGTTGTAAAACAAAAGGCAAATAAAAGATATCCAGTGTCTATTTGTTTAACCAGCACACAAGCCCCCATGGTTTCAGTGGAGCTGGCGTGCTGCTCTTTGCAAAGCATTTCTTTGCAAAGCATTTCTTTGCAAAGCATTCTAATTTTTTTATAGAGCCACACACAGTCACTGAGCCTGGTTTCCAGCACCAGTCCTCCATACAAAGCAGGACATGGGGGCATGTCCCATCCTGAGGACTATGCCAAATTCATGGCCCCAGACAAGATCATAATTGCTGATATTTCTGAAGCTCATTCTTTAAGAATTAAGCCAGGCACCTGCCTTGCACTCCTGGGTTTTCATCCTTTCTGCTGACTCACGTTTCTTCACATCCTCCACTTCCTTCGAAAGATGCTCCAGGGATTTCTGGAGTTTGACCTGAAAAGAGAAGAAACAGGCTCAGCTCGCACCAACAACAACTGCCAAGCACCACAGTTCGGCCGGGCCCCCTCTGCCCTGGGACCACTGGTGCCAGCGGACAGCCAGGGGACAGTGACCCCGTGCCAGGCGGTGCCAGCCCTGGCACCCAAACTCAGCAGCTGTGCTCTTCACTCTACTTGCAGTGTTAACCCTCTCCACGCTCCTCAGGTTTTACCCATATTTTTCTCACTATTTAGGTTTTGAAGAAAAAAAGTGACTGCTCTCTGCAATGCTGCGATGCAGGGAGGCTGGCAGCGTGCTGCCGGGAGCATCGCTGGGACATGGGGTTTGGGTGCACCCCTCCACTGAGGCAAAACGTCCCCAGGGCAGGACTCACCACCACCCCTGCTCTGGGGGGGTCATGGAGGGGCAGGGAGCCAGGCTGCCTCCATGCATCTGGACGGACAAGGGTGAGCCTGGGTGCCTCCAGAATTTGGGAGCCAGCAGGTCCAGCCTCATCCCTGCAATGAGAGTGGCTGGTGGGTGCCGTTGTCTCTTCCACCCTCTCCTCTGCTTTCCTGGTGGTGCTGCCGGGGCTGTTGGGAGAGGGGCAGTGGGGTCCTGGCGGCCAATCCCCCCAGTGCTGGCATGCCCAGGGTGCATGAGGGCAGGACAGGGACCCCCAGCACCCCAACCTCCCCTACCTTGTACACCTGCGCAGCCTCCTCGATGGGGTAGACGGTGTGCGAGCGGTGGTGCAGGGACTCCCGGCACACCACGCAGATGGCTTCCTCGTCCTCCTCACAGAAGAGCTTGAGGCGCTCGTCGTGTTGGGCGCAGAGTGGGGTTCCCGGCCCTGGCTCCGTTCCCAGGCCAC